CTACAGCACCCACGCAATAAAGTATTTTTTTTCTCAATGATCTCACTTAAAATCTACTTCACGTTCGTAGGAAACAGACGATTGGTTAGAAGCAAAGTCTGATCAAGAGCCAATAGATCCTAAAACAAACGATAAGCCCAAAATCAAACGAAATCTCCAGAATCAGACGAAATGTTTGGATCTTACTTTGATCTCCTGAGTCTTGATTTCTGGTATCGCCTAGTTTTTTAACTTGTAAAACTATTTTACGAAATCGTGGAGAGTGACTCACAATAATGACCTACTCTATCGAGGATCACTTGACATAAAACACTACTCAACGCATACACCTTCTGTGCAACCATTTGTATTGACAATACACCAGAGCGTGTATTGACAAACATATAAACCGGAATACAAACTACGATTGAAATCTGTAGTTCTATGTTTATGTTTCATCGAACAAGCTGTTGAGTCTTCGTGACAGATCTTCGCTGAAGTACTTGTAGTGGTAACGAAACTTACCTGCTTCCATGGGCTTGATGTCCGGTCCATCGTCGTACCCGACGGTGGACGCCATCCCTTGCACGTCGGCCGCCACTTTACGTCAAAACTTGTCAAAACCGCACAAGAGAAGGTAAATTTGTTTGCAATCTAGTCGTAGAAGAACAAGATGTCGCCGGTCGATACACAGCTGTGTGCGCGTGCGCAGGTGACGTCATCGCGAGGCCAGCTGATTCTGAGCTTGATGGGGTTTGATTGATTAAATTAATTGTGTAAATGATTCGAAAACTTTTTTATGAATGAACTGTAATTTAATAACCCCAAAAAAACTCTGTGGACTAAGCTTACTCCAATAATTTGTCTTATTTGATTTGTACTCAAATATTTCCATAAACAAGTACCTAATATTTATTTCCTACTGAAATACGTAGGCCTAATGGGTTTGCTGCTACAAGGGAGGGAAAGGTTTTTTGATCAAATTCAAACATTATAGGATAAAATATAGCAATATGCCAAATTTGATCAATATATCTCCATAAGCAAGCAAACTACAACAATTCTCTGCATTCTCCATAAAAATAACATGTGTTTATGTACAGTTTTTTTTTTTTTTTATTTTCTCCGTAACCTTTTTTGTACAACAATGCGTCAATGTACGAAATTGTTTGGGGTTTTAAGCTCTAGTCTACCAAGTGGCTGAAATGAAAATCGATAATTTACATTTTTTAAGAGTAAAAATTCGAAAACCCCCGTTTTTCAAAGCTTTCAAATCCCCATAGCATCCCGTTCCCATTACCCTTTCATGTTGGCTCGTGAACTAATTCGATTTTAAACAGCTTCATGCCAAATTTAATAAAAGGTAGGCAAAAGTTATTTCACCAAAAACCATTTAACTCACAAATAATTCTGCTACAATATTAAGTTTTATATCTGCCACTGAACAAGATTTTGCTTAGACAGTTTTCTACGTTATAATAGGCTAAGTTGCATTACCTTTAATAGTACTACAGCAAACCTCTCGTCGAAATTTGCTAGCTTTATATTCAAGGCAGACATAGTTGAATGGCTCATAAAGTGATATTGAAGATATATTTCTTTTTTGGAGATTCATACTAAGATAGTGAGTAGGGCAAATAAGATGTTTTTTTTTTAATTTGCAGTTTGGTGTATAAGAAACTGAAATTTACAACAGCTCACTTATACACATCTAATGTACAGCGTGTATTTTACGCAACCAAAATTGCAAGTCGAAACTCACTGTTTACAGAAAAAAATCACATGAGCTGGATGCACTGCTTCCTCTGCTTCATTCCCTATTAGCTTGTATACATTTTAGAATGGTTTTAGCAAAGGCTTGTGCTGGGAAATTATTATGAATAAGATCCAACATGTGTTTTACTCAAACGCAACCAGTAAAGATTGGGACTAATCAGTGTAAACAATGCTAAAACGTACATCAGCTGATTACCAATAAAACAGAGTAAGCAGGGGTGCCAATATATGAGCTTGTGTTGTCCCTTTACAGCAAATCTCTGTAATTCTAATTCGGGTAGCGTAAAAAACACCATGTAAGGTCTTAATTATTGTACAACCCAGAGAGTAAAGGTTGTAGAGGTCTTCAATTTAACTAGAATTTAAAAATGGAAATTTAAATACTTCATTTCACTGTAACATAATAAAGACATCCTAAACACACAGGTATTGAATTAAACTTTAAAAATTATAATAAACTATAACGTTTATTAAAATCCGACTCATTTCACAAATTCAAGTCCAAACAACCCAATTTCATTTCTTTACGTTGTAACAGATACTGAAGAAATGCAAATGTTTTTTATGTGAGATTTTGCAAATGTTAAAAGAAATGTGAAATGCAACCCTGATTTGTAGCAAAGCTACGTTTTGGTTTTAAAATTACTTTTACATAAGTTTGAGGGAAATGAAGACGCGCACAGTAACATGGCAGAACTGGGATTCTGGCAGATTGTTTCGTATGTTGGATGTTCAGTATCCAGCCATGTCCAGGAATGTCTGATCAATGTCGTTGATAATGTCCTTGTAGATCTCCTTCTGACGGAGGACGTCGTCTGAAAATTAAGCAATTTACATGAATATTTGCCAGAGATAAAAGTTAAAATAAATACAGCCCAGGCTACAGAAGAAATAAACATAGCATCATTTTCACCTGTGATTTCATTCGGGGATTTCGTGCTGGGTGACAAACTCTGATTTTTTTTACTTGTGAAAGACAAATTGATTACATTTGAAATAGCGGAGCGAAGCTCTTTGGGATCAACTTCAATGCTATCGTTAAACACTTAATCTCAATAACGGGTGAAGATATTTTAGCCAAACTTACCAAGGTTGTTTTGTCAAATGTTTGGTTTAGACATAACCAATTTCAAATTTTGATAATGTCTATATCATTTTAAAGAAACTCAAAGTTTTAAAATTTTAACATTGGTCTTATGGGTTGCTACGATGGTTACAAAATAACGACGTAAATGTAAACGAAACAAAGAATCATTGCATATGTTATAATCAAGCCACGACCTAAACACAGTAACACAGTAAAAGGAAAAAAAAATCGGATGTTGTCAACTACTGTACTGATCAAAAACCACAGAGAAAGTCTTAGATTTACATTTAAGTCGCAATTTGGAAACGACCACTTATCGAATAGGTACAGTCGTAGATAAAACATACTTTCTGAGGCATATTTGATTTACAACAAGATTTTATTTACGTTGATAAATAAGGTTATAACAAATAATATTTTATCTTAAACAATTCGTCGGTGAATTAGCTTCATGGATCCAACTCATAAATGGCAAACTTAAACAGGTCCACAACGTAGGAAGTGGTGAAGGAAGTAGTAAATGTGAGAAGTGCGGATTATGTGAAACGTTCATGGAGGGGCAGTTAGAAATTGTATCTAAAATACTAAAATGCTATGGGAAGGGGGAAACAAGTCCACAACGTAGTAAGTTGTGAAGGAAGTAGTAAAGGCTGGCGACGCAGAGTGAGGGAACCATTTGTGGCAGTTGGATTAATGTATCTGCAAAATGTTATGGGAAGTGAGGGAAACAGGTCCAAGACGTAGGAATTGGTGAAGGAAGCAGTAAATGCTAGCAGTGCAGAGTGTAGGAACATTTGTGTTTTGTAATATATATATATATATATAAACAATTTTAATTTATTGTTTTATTATTGCTATGAAAACAATCCTAGTAGATAATCACTATTTACATCGAAAACACAAAAATAAAACTAATGAAATGAAAGTGTCTCACCTATTATTCTCCATGCAAAGATCCAACTTCATGCCGTCCTTACAGCTAAAACTGGGAGTTCTGACACGAGCATGACGAGGAATGAATCATGCTAATACAGTTTGTATGATCATAGACAAAAGAATTATATAAAGACCGTCAGCTGTGCTGTGGTTCGAATAGGTTCTGGCACACACCACTGGGAGCGCCATGTAGTTACGGCGTACGCGCTACGTAACTACACAGCGCTCCCAACAGTGTGCGCCAGAAACTATGGTAACCATGGTAACCGCAGCATGGATGAAAGTCAATATTTAATTCTTTTTGTCTATGGTATGATAAAGGTTTTTTGAATCACACAATAAAATACAATATGCATGATTTGATATATGTAAATATTCAGAAAGATGTTTGAGATATTTTTTCTTGTAGATAAACTGTATCGTTAAAACTTTAAAAATTTCAATAATTATTGTTTTTATCAAGCTTGTATTGAGTATATGTGGTAAGTTTTTTAATATACAATTGTGTCCAATAGGATAAAACACTAAAACTTTGAGATTTAGGTTTTGAATGCAATGCTATGCAGATTTTAATAATGGAGTATTGTTCATACATTTTTTTATTTAAGTTCTAAAAATCCAACTCCATGTCAAAATACTCTTCTTAATTCAACACTCAACGTAAACTATTAGTTTTTTACAAAAAAAAAAATATAAAAACTGTAATCTATGTGGTAAATCTAGGAAAACTGATAGTCATCAAACTGTAAGCTGTATAAAATTTATGTCTCATTTTACACTATAAGCAACTATGGATGAAGTTTCTTGTGATTTTGAATATGTCTATTTTCTGTATCTGTACAATATTCTTTTGTAAAACAGATTTTAGATGTACGTTTATTGTAAGAGAGACTTTATGAAAATATTTACAATGAATGAGAATACGTTGTATGCATGGCTGATTTTGAAAATGAACTATCTAATAAAGGCACTGACTAATTAATGAGTAAAATCATAATCAACTGAATGGCTCTGCAATCTAAATGCATACAAGCATGTAGGAATGCATGTATGAAAATACTGACAATGAATGAGCATGCGTTGTTGGCATGACTGATTTTGAAAAAACATGAACATTTCAAACTAGACTACCAAACATCAATTATCCATTTTGAACATTCTCATTATTTTCATCTATACACATGTTTCAATGATGTGGAACAGGCGTGGTAATAAAGTATGGTTTTTCACACAAATCTTTATTTCAAACTCACATTTTAGTAAATAAATATATGTCTTTAAACCAACAAACTCTAAAATATGTATACAATAAATGCTTAGGATTTTAAATTACCACACTTCAACTAGAACTTTCCAGAAAACCGTTTTCTTAAGGGGAAAACTATATTTACAGATTATCAAAATATATAACAAGGAATAGTGTAGGGTTGGTAGTTGTGGAATAAACAGTAGGCCTATAAAATATCTGGTCAAGTTTTTCATTGGCTCAGAATAATTTAGTACGTAAAGTTTACTTATTCCAGGTTTCACGTGTTTCAGAAAACATTCAATAACACATTCTGCAGGCAAACAACCTTACATAAATAACTTGCCCACTTTTCTCGACAACGTTTCAATAATTTATCAGCAAATATTGAAACTCCATATTCGCGTTCCAAACTGTTCCCGAACTATATTGCATATTGTTTCTAAAAACATGTCTTTCATAAATACAGATCTCTTCATAACCAATTTCTAGGGGTGGAGAAAATTCATAAAGATGGCATGACGATGTATGTTCAATACCCAAGAGTTTTGTAAGAAATATTAGTAACATTTTGTAAGAAAACAAAATGGGTAAAATAATAGAGAGGTCGAGGAACTTTGTAATTAATTTCGTGATATTGAAATTAGATTCCAGCCATGTCCAAGAAGGTCTGATCAATATCGTTGACCATGTCCTTGTAGATTTCCTTCTCCTTCAGGACATCGTCTGTAACCAAAACGTAAATTAAAGATTTAGTACAGCCTTTAATTATAATCATTATTAGGGAGGAGCGCAACTATTTATGTAAAAAAGTATTAGATAAAAATTATGTGGTGTACAGTACTACACAACAGAAATATAGAGAGTATTGTGGACACGGTTTCAAGAGCAATAGCAGTTAACAACTTCACACTAAATTAACTATTTCGTGTTTGAAGATAGAATACCCTGAAGATGCCGTGCCATATAGTGAAATACCTAATAGGTCAACAACTTCAATTTAGGAAATAAAAAAGAAAAACTGGTTATATTAAAGTATTCCAAAACAAAATTCTTTGAATAGCAGTGCTTGGTTCGTTAGATATACTCGAAGAGCTTGGAGTAGAGTCTATCTCGACCTTTATTGAAAAATGCCTCCTTAAAATTTCCAAAATCTTTAGACAATGTTCCTAGAGTAATGTGAATAAAGTAATATTGAACCAGAAACAAATGTTGTAAAAGAACTTAGAAATCTATTGAGGTTAGGAGTGAAATGCCTTATTCACCTTAATACCACGAATTTAAGATCAGCTGTTTATTTATCAAGGATCATGAGTTCAAACTCCGATCAATCAAGGACAGCTGGATACATCTTTGAAACATCAAAAAGCTACTAAATTTTCCCAGGATCGAACTGGTGACCTTTTGATTGTCAGGCGAGCTATAATCACTCTGCTGCCCAGCTATATATTTAAGGTAGTTCTTCAAAAACTCTGCTATATAATGAAATAAATGGTGATATGTAAGTAAAACATCAAACGTACAGTATGGTATCTCAATATTCTCTCGGCGTACGGTAAAAACGTATGGAACAATCGAAAACAATCATATTGGTTGGTTAAATAACATCAACAATAGAAAAATAAATTAAGTGCCATATGTAACAATGTAAAAAAGGTTTTCCGGAACAATCCTCTGTGGTTCTTGTATATAAATAATAAACTATAAACTATGTACACAACAATAATATACCGTTGTTTCAGGAATTTTCGTGGGTATACGAAATTCATGATATTAAATAATGAACTTGTGAAATTAATAGAGAATCTAGGTCATGAGCACTAAAGTCATTCATCTACCTTAGATCCCCAAGTTAAACATTTAGCCAAAACCACTTCTACTTTCCCAACATACTTTTACCATCCATCATTTTCTCCGAGTTTTTAACCGATGTCTAACACAGACTTACAACAAGACAGTTACAACTGCTCTCACTACGTTGGAAATCTTAAGTTTGTTTTCACTGCAGAACTTTCTATTTAAGAAAACTCTGTAATAAATTACTGATGTCATTTGATGTTTCATGAAAATTAGTGTCATTCCTATGGAAAGTTGCCAAATTTTCAGTAACGGTTATTTCAAATAAATTTATTTCATCATTTCCCAAGCTCTTATAACGTTTCTGAGTAAAGAAAAAATGATCAGCTGATTTCCTCGTCGTCTTATGTTTTCCTTCCCCTGAGGTTTTTCAACGTCTCTCAGATGAACCATAACGCGTACCAGATATTGCCACTTTCAGTACATGGTATGAAATATACAATTTTATAAGTACTTAGTTTAAAGAGGCTGCTTACGAATGGTTTACATAAGCCACCTTTTCTGGGTATATTTTCATCCACAACATTTAGGCGGTTTTAGAGGAAGAAATCTATCTCCTCCACTTAACCCTTACCTTTAAAATAATAGCTCAACAGCTGATTCAGAAACATATAATAAACACAAAAAGCCTAAATATTGTGAACGAAGTATCAATAGATGAACTTCAAATAGATGGCATTCTACGTTTCATACTATTAGTACCAGGGGGCCAAGCCATGGCTCGCTGTAGTTTGTTTCGATTGTAAATCAAACTCACGTTTTATTTAAAACTAGTTATGGCTTTTATTCAATTTATTCTGTTGGAAATTTTAACCTGGCAATGCTCAAGGCATTCATTTGTTTTACAGTCGATGAAAGGTCGCTCGTTTATAATAGCCTATACTCGCATAAACATTGTTTTGACATTTTGTTTAAATCAAAACAGCTGATTACTTTAAGGATTAAGTTTTGGTAGGAGAGAGCCAAGTTAAATAATCAGTATTTGATAGTAACTTGGAACTATTTTCACATATATAGTGTTATCTTCAGTGTAATCTTTGCACAATAGTAACAACTTATATTTTTCCTTTTGTACTGTATTTTGTAATTTGCTAGTATACTATGTGTGGAAACATTATTATGAACACGTGTTACAATTTACAAGCCTTTTGTTTACTTTTTCCCTGTTATTTTGTTCAACCAACACGGCCAACATGGTTAATTTAAAATTTTTTTACTTTCAATTTCATTTTTTCACGTAATTAGATTTTTGTTGGCAGTTTTAACTGCATTAAACACGTTTTTAGGCCAGAAATTAATTATTTACGACATTTGAAGGAAATCGTCGATGCTGTTTTTGAGATCTTTGTGCAAGCAAGCATACAAGTATACATACGAACAAGCAAACATTGCTCATATAAGAGTATAGGATAGGATAATAGTTTTAAGCGATTGCAAATAGTTTGAAACGTAAATACGTTCCCGTAATTCACACTGTCCAGACGAACGGTTTCCGTCCATTACATTTACACCCTGGCTTCGTTTTTATGTTTTATCAGCTTCGTTTTATTGGTTTGTTTACAGGCTTGAGAGGATTTTAAACGTAAATGTCATCGGACTTAAAGTTTCATGCTACCTGTTGGTAATAATAGACGTGATGAAATCTCACTCGTTAAATTCTCAGCATTTTGTTAGTATGACTTTTTGCCAATCAATTGATCCAATATTATTGTCAAAGATTATCAGTAGTTATGTTCCGATAATGTGCATTATTTGGTTTTCTTCTTAGGACCGGATTTAAGTCACCAAGGACCTGTTTCGCCATATTTCTTTCTAAAATATTTAAACATCTACCCGTATTTATGTATTAGTAGACCACTTTTGTGGATGCACTTTAGAAATTATTGTGAAATAAACAAAGATAAAATAAATTTCCTATTTTACAATAATATCCAACTATTGTATACAAAACTAAAAGTAAAATCTCTTAGTTCAAGATCCTATAAAACCTGGCGGATCCTGGTTTACCTAGCGGGATAACACCTTAGAACAAAAATTACAATGAAAAAACTTCTTATTAAACCCCTTATATTAATACTTACTTTACAAAGTATGTGTGCAAATTTTCCTAAAAGTAAGTGGCCTTTTGGTACTCTTTGTTTAAAAAAGTCAAGGACTACAATTTTGTTACTTTTCTATAGATAGCGAGTAGAAAATGCAATTAATATTTTATTAGGTTAGTTTGTGACAACGATACTAAAAAAAACTTTAAAATGAAACTCTATTTTAAAAACAGCGTATCAAACATTTAAAACTATTTATGACTTTTCACATTAAGTGAGCCGTTCGTAGTGGTTAGTTTAATTGATTGTTCAATTAACTAAAACGTATAAAACGGAATGACTGAAAATACAATCAACTTAATTAGTTCGATTAATTCTACGAGTTGTTCTGCGATCCGGAAATTAAAATTAACTGCATGTAAACCAATACCCAATTAGTCTACCTAATTAGTCAATTCAGTTTATTCAATTTTTTATACTAATTGTTGTTTATCAAATAACCTAGGACTTGTATTAAGCTGACGTTAATTTTTTTGATGGTAAAAATTAATAAAAACTTATTTTTTAGTTAGAATGTTTAACCTAAAAATGTTTTTCAACATCAGGATCGGACTGTTGCGCTGATTTATTCAAAGTTATGGTGTTAACAAATTTGAAATAAATTCAAATTAAGTCGGACATTTTTATGTGGCTTATTGTTTCTACGGACGCTCTACACTGTATACGACAATGTATATCAATAATAACATAACATGTATGACAATTATTTAAACGAAGAGTGTTTCGGCCTCTGAAAACCTTTTTATTAATAAGAACTATTTGCTTCGGCTAAATCAGCTGATATGCATCTGTTGTCCTTAACTCAAGCTAACTCTTTTCAATGGAAAAAGTAAAATTTTTATCTCTTGGACCCAAAGAGGTTCTTTCCAACACGAGGTTTAACAAAATGAACGAGGGTCCAAAATATATTTTGCCCGTGTTGTGAAATATATTTTCATGGTATTCTTACCATGAATATAATTAAGAATCGTAGATTTCATTAATTTTTAACCTTTATTAATTTGCTCCCAGGATTGTTACAAATTTAATAACGCATACGAACAGCTTTTACCATTACTATATTTTGAAGCAATTAGTATTACACGTATTACACCGCCAACATAATAAATTAATATTTTATTGCGGCAGTACTTTTTTACATTTCAATTTCTCTAAATGTCGATAAAGGGGACCACTCCTAGGTAAATACAACACAACACGATAGAATACAGAATATATGTTTAAAATAATATGATAATATTGTTTTCGGAACTATTTTCTTCTGAAAAAATAGCGGACAAGTTTTACAATTTATTATAAAAATGTACAGCTGAATGTCTTCAAGTAAACCTGATTTTTTTCTCCTCTGTGGAAAAATGAGCTTCTTTAAACCTGAGTGGAACACAATCGGTTTTTGCTGCATGGCAAAACAATATTGTTTGTTTACTTTTTTCCATTTGGTTCTCTTAACAATTTTTAGCTGGATCTATTTTAGTCCTCTAAATCAGCTGATATACATCCAATGACCTCCAGCTGATTATTTTCACTCAGGAATAAAAACGCAGTTTTTTAATCAATTGTGACGAAAAGGGATCCATTTTGTTTACGTTGTATGGCAATGTCAGCTTAACTATTCTAACATGACCTTGCTCTGTTCTAGAATATACCTTTGGTTATAGTTGCTAAACTTACATTTTAATTAATCATAATAATAGTGGTTAATAGAAATTAGACAATATTTACCTGTGAGGACGACGAAGGAGACACCAACACCACAATCAACAAACA